CCCCATGATGACAGTTTCCCCAAATTCAGAATTTTTTCCTTTTATAAGTGGATTTCTGAACAGCCAGAAGCCTTTGGTCTCCACCATACGTGCACCTTGTATGCCATAGGCATACCCTGTGATACTGGAAAGCACTACTTTCTCAGGTCTCAGCAAATGCCTCCTCCTGTTGCTTTGTTGTTTTTCTCTAGCTCAGCTGCCTCTTTCCTTCGGTATGCTCAAAGCAGCTGTCTTCATAACTTGCTATGTTGTGTTTTTTTCAACCAGTAATTGGCCATCAGTTGGTTGTTTATAATGTTGGGTCCTCTGTTTTCAATGACATTTTCAAGGCCTTTGCTGTTATCCCACGTTAAGCTCCAGTTTGTAATAGCTGTCTGGCACAAAGCTCCAGTTCACAGGGCAGGTTCTCACCACAGGTCAGTAACAAGTCCCACAGGCCAGGACCGGGGTCTTGTGAAGTTGGCACTGAGCCTGTGGCCTGCTGCTAGCAAGAGAAGTCTCTTCTTAGTAACTTCCATTTGCTCAGTGTTTCACAGCAGCAGAGGAAACTCATCTTTAGCTGGCTGTGCAGTGTGACCTCCCCAGAATTGGATCATATCGTTATTCTCTAAAATGTACTCCCTCATACTTAGTGTGCCCTAAAATATCTGTTCCCATGTAACTTTAAGCTCAACTGTATTAAGATATGTGTTGTTCACATGAGGCTAGTGTATCGTAAGATCATTTTAATCAACCTGTTTTCATCATCACTTAACACTTCACATTTGGTCTCCTGAGGTATTTATTTATTTGGTTGCTGGTATTCTATATTCTTTTGGATTTCTGCTAAAGGTATGGCAGAAGTCTGGGCTAAAACCAGTAGTCACTGCAGGGACCACACTGGATGTATCTCCTCTGACCGGGGATAGATGTGCTGGAGGGAGGAGCCTTTGCTACCTTTTTTTCTGAAAGATTTAAGCCTGTAGATCCGCAAAACACTGGAGAACTTAGCCTGCTTGAAAGATGGATTGGGTCATGTCCAAACATCTAATCACAGTGTCTTGTTATAGTAAAAAGATAATGATTTTTTTTTTCTTTGCTGTAATTTTATAATGTTCTAAAAGAAATTAAAATGCAGAAGCTATAAACCAGTATTTATTATTTTAAAATACACAGCATTTTAAAGAACATGTATTAAATGTCAGCATATTCATATGGTCATACATGTGTGGACAAATACATGTCACTGACAAACTGATACAGAGCACACATACATGTTAGTCAAGGCAAATCTAACCTGGATTTGTCCTTATTTTGGATTTGCCTGTAGTATACAAAATAGAGTCACCCTAGTGTTTTCCAGTGCTAACCTATTTTCCTAGCTAAAAGCCAACGGCACCCCTCATTCTTTTTTGAATGAGACTTTTTTTTCCTAGATGGTCTGTGATCTGTTTTATTCCAACAGGCTGGAAAAAGCAGGGAGAGGTAAGGGAAAAATACATTTCCAGGTATTGATATACAAATCTGAAAATTATTAACATTTCAACAGAACTGTAAAGGAGATTAAAAATTGGGTGGTCATATACAGCAAGAGTTCGATTCATCACCTTATGATTCTGTTTCCTTTCTTTGCACTTGACAGCATACTTTGTAGAATCTTTTAGGTTGGAAAAGACTTTGAAGATCATCAAGTCTAAACCTAACACTGCTAAGTCCACCACTAAACCAAGTCCCTAAGTGCCACATCTATGTGTCTTTTAAATAGCTCTGGGTAGGTATTCTTGTAGAGGTTCTGTTGATAAAAACGTAAGCGAGTAAGAGCAATCGCATAACAGTTAAGCACAAACTTACTGTTTCCATTACCAGAGTTTTTACTCAATTTTAATAGTTTTAAACCCAATTAAATAAAAGTTTATAAATTGTATTTTGCCCAGATGAACTGAATGTTCCACAAAATAATGGTGACTTAACAGAAAGGCACCTCACTTCACACTAGCACTCAGCAAGAATTTGTAGTTCCCACTTTGAGGTGGGTATTACACCCCAACCAGGACGTCTGGATTTTACTGTAATAAAAATGTAACACTTTATGAGAGATAGTTTCACAACTGTGAAGAGACTGAGGAACATTACAACTTGGAAAATCAGGGTCTATCTGGGTATTTTTTAGCTTTAAGTAACTTAAGATAAAACACTTGCACAGAGCGCCCTCACTCTGTGTTCTGCACAAAAGTGAACAGGTTATTTTTTTTTTTTTCCTTAACGAGATAAATCACATAAAACCCTTAACCAATTCCGTTCTCACCGTCAGCCTTCCTCTTTTAATAGGATTTAGCTCTAGTCGAGCTAAGCGAGCCTTTTTTTAGGGAAGACTTGTCCATGAAAGTCCTTTATTGGGCAGATCGAGCAAACAGCTCCGCAGTTATTTTTGTCTGGATACACAAATGAGGGGGAGGGGTGTCGCTTTCCCCCTAAAAACGGCCTTTTCCGCCGCGCCGTTCTTGCGCTCCCACAACCCGGGAAGAACAGAACGCTTCCTTCCCTCTCCTGCTTCGACCCGAGCTCCCGGCCCGTAACGTGCGGGGTCAGAGCCCGCCTTTCCCGCTGGTGGGCGCACGGGGCGGCCCCGGGAGAACGGGCTGCACGGAGGCGAGC